TTGTAATTCCTTTTTAAGACCAAGGTTGACCTCGGAGAACAACCTACGCTAAACTATGGACATAACATAATGTCCGCCTAGCCCGGTTGCTAGAAGTCCTGTCTAGTACTAAGATATGTCAGAACTTAATTGGGAGACGGCGACCCAGAGAAAGTCGTTTGACAGACGTTCGACTGCTAGATCCCACTGTGGTTGGACTTGTCGAAATTCTGCGAGAGGTCCGGTGCGCCAGACTTCATCTCTGTCAGGATAATACTGGCACCACTGGAAATCTACCGCTTCTCGTTAGACTCGGGAGTCTTTTTATGCTAGGCTTGTTGTCTCCGAAGGCAGCTCTACCATCTACTAATTGTGAGCGCATTAAGTAATCACAGGCCAGGCTGAGGCAGGCCACCCAAAAATCCGAGATATTACGAGGGTGCATCCACTCAGACACGATAATGCTGGACTGCTCGCGGCTGATGAACTATTTGCTCGTATTTCCTAACCGTTTTTAGGTTGTAGAATGAAGTCTCCGACTTCCGACGAGATGGACAGGCGCAAGTTGCTTAATGCCCCGTGGAAAATATTGGTTATCTTGTGCTTAGATACGTCTTACTTGGCGGTTAATGAGACTAGTGACAAAAGTTGCAAGCTAACAGTCCCCAAGGAGCCTCAACAGAATCAGCCACAATACAGACCAGTATCCAGCAAGTGTTTCGGTGGGACAAAATGAATTACCGCGATCTACGGTCAGTGTACTAAAGTTTAAAATCATTGCTACTGAAGACCAGTCTCATTTTTGTCAACCACTCGTTAGCTTGACAGATCTGCCGTAGTTTTCCCACCAAGTCGGATAGTCTAAGAGGGATTAGTGTGGGTGGTGCTGAATGCAAAGCCGACTAGAGCAGAGAGCAAGAATCAGGCACAAAAACTAGAGAGATACTAGGCCTTAGCTCCTTTGTATCAACTCTAATGACTACTCTGAATGCCACACATATGACTGTGTTAGTCGTGACAGTCATCCGGGAGGCGCAAGAACCCGGGTCTAATTTTGCGTTGCCAGAAATAGGGACATAGTAGTTTTGGAGCATAAGTTATGAAGAATCCTCCATTCGATAAGAAATAAGATCGATTCGGAACATTTTATCAGTAGTTCTTATGCCAAAAAGCCCATTTTACATGAACTAAATAGCAATGTTTGAATACTACCTAGGATCCAGATTATATCAGGCGGCGGCAAAATTTAACCAAGTATTAATTGTGTCCAGGTACCGGTTCCTGTGTCCGGAAAACGACCAATGACCTCTATGCATTTATAGGTTGACCTGAGTATCCTTGTCAGACGGCGCGAAAACTAAGCTAATTCTGCCATAGTTTCCAGAGCAAGTTCACACACTTGCCGGAAAAAAGTAAGACATCATATTTATGCTACATAATTTTAAGGTCATACGAACAACATACCGCCCTCGAAATAATGATATGCTTTAACTACCACTTTCTAAGAGCTGTATTAATGGCCGTCTCCCAGGGCCAATCATACCCCACCGACGACGATTTTGCACCATTTGTTGAAGCGGATCCACACGCAGAAACAAGGGCTAATGACTGGTCATGGTCAGGCTATCGAAACAAGGCTCGAGCACCGCCTACCTAGCAGAGTCGGAAATTTAAATTAAACGCAGATGTTTGAAAAGTCCCGGCCCCCAAACTATGATACCTGAATCACAAGGAATTCGCATGCAATCCTGATTGATGCTATTACTACCGGGCAAGAGCAACGTAAAAACAGTAACCGCAGTGAAGAACCTTAGTTCTCCTGCGTCGTCTGCACCGACCAGTGTTAGTTTCAATGGCCGCAAGTTTAGCCTACATCAGACCTGTCGAGACAATTCCCAGGTGAACTCCATAATCATCTTCAGTGTAGTCTCTCAACGGCCTTGCCGACAACTTTAACCTCATCGAAGGGACTGAACAGATTTTGCTAACAAAAGGGCTCCCCAAACTCACTACTTATGAAGAGCGCTGCTTGCTTCAACGCTGTGGGTTGGCTCACCTGTCTTGCTACAAAACGAACTTTTAGCCAAATTTGAGGGGGCGGCTGATCGCCCAGTATTTCTATCTATTCAGATCAGTCCGCTTCTTATAGGAAAAATTGATAGGTAGAAAATAGGACAGGAAAATCCTAGACGCGAGCGGGCTAGTAGCAGAGGCAGCACCTCAAGATTGTGAGGTACGAAAAAGGCGATTCTGTAAGACCGAATGGTCCTGATAAACACACCTGGCAATAGAAGCTGGTACGTCCGCCTCGCTGCATATCCACCTCCATGGGTAACGTAACCTTCCCAACGCCCAAAATCTGCGGCGGGTCTGCTCTTGCTGCCTGAGAACGACTCAGTTCTACTTCATGCGAACACGGGGCGACTGTGGAGACTGGAACCCTCGAGTCAGTGCCACCAGTAGACCCCCGCATTTACCCTTGAAAGCCGATATGCACCGACCGCACGCGGCATACCACAGGAGGGGAAAAGATAACTAAAAAATTATGCTGTTGTTCTCTCGGTCCCGTTACGTTGGACTCGCGGGGGTGTAACACACTCTGAAACATATTTGTGGCTGGGGGTGTCCTTGAAACTGCAAAAATCCGCTCTTCAAAGGCAACTGGTTATAGAGGAGAATTTGTCTGGATGGACGGCGCCCATCTGACTTATATCCTCCAACTTACCCACATTAAGTTGAAAATACCTCCCACTGGCTGGTCACCGAGGACCCGATTAAGGACCTTGATTGCACTGGCATTGGCCCAACAGTTGTTTTTCTCTGTGGGGTTAAAAACTCCTGCGTAACCTCGTTACTTGGGCATTGAAAGGTGGGGGGAGGGGGGCCACCCCGGGGGGACGAGTCCTCGGGTCTAGAATTACTGTCGTTTTGGAGACATGGGATGATTTCAACTGCACTATCGGTTTCAAAGAGTGGAGTCACCATGCCAACAATTTCGGTTCGATAACGGCATTGGTCAGGGGCGAGCCAAGAGACTTCTGACTCCACAGGTGGCCCGGGAGTCTGATGCGGCGGGTCATATAGGCATCCAGTCAAAGTCGGTTATTGCCGGCCTAGCCCGGTAGAAAGACACAAATGTTGGACCTTTACGACCTTTAAGCGCGCCAAGTCCCTTACATCCACTGAGACACCAAGGTCCGGACTACGTGCATACCAAGTAAATCACCTTTACCGCCGCTCATGCAGTGATTTACACGCGGTCGTCACGAGCGTGTCGTCGCAAACCAAAGTCACTTGCTTCCACTTCGGTTCTTACGCGTTTGCAAGTGAAATGCTTCGGCATTGTCAAACGGGGCTGCGAACAGCATGCAGAGCTGCCCCAGACGCAGCAAGCAGGTAGTTAATGACAAGACAAGCTGTCAAGCATGGACTAGACTTCGACCTACATAACTGTCACCAGAGCGACTAGGCAGAAAATAGATACTGTCACCGATGTTCCCTAACGTCCCCGATGATTACACTCCCTAAAGCGGCTCAAGCGGGAGTTCCACTTGACCAGAAAGTGCCACATCAAGGTACAGCGCGTATCATTGGGCTATGCGTCTACAAAAAAACGCGATATATAGGAGGAATGGAACGGCAATTTCAGGCGCCTACTGCGGCCAATTATCACATCAGGCGACTGACCGGCTCGGACAGTACGCCGGGCCCCTTCTTTGTGAAATGCTGGTTCAGTGTTCGCGGACCAGGTGACACGCGTAGATTGACTGTTTTTGTCAGTCACTGCATCCGATTCCGCCTCCGGCACGGATGGGTGAAAAGTGGGGTGACGGCTGAGCAAGTCTACTACTACCACAAGCTAATTCACGCACAAGTCATCGTCCATGGGCCCAGTCTGCTTTGGAGCACATGGTGGACAACGTCAGTAACGACAGTCGGACTGTCGTGGGCTACACAAGGTGTTGGGATGAGTAGATCGTGTTTGTTGACAAAACCATGCACTTCTCACGACGCCCGCCGTCAACGCAGGTGCCAGCATAAACATCAGCATCGCAAGAGACCAAACGAACACCCTCGATGCTGGCTACTGTCTCCACTGAATCCTGGACAATTGAACGACAGCTTCGGTGGCACTTCATTAAGCAGATACGAATGACAAGCATGCTGCCAACAAGGCAATATAATCCGACTACGAATAAGAGGAGTGGCAGGTAATTTGGTGCGCCACTTTTTACATGTGAATGGGACACTACAAATGGCTCACGAAAAAACCACTAATTTGAGTAGGGACACAAGCTGTTCTAGTCCTGGGTCTGCAAGAGTAACTTGCAACCAAGTCCACAAAATTACTACAAAGTCCGTCTGGGTAGAAGGTCCTACACACTGCGAAGGCCAACTGTACAGAACAAATGCTGACTAGATGGAGGATACCAGAATGCAGAAAACACGGACGCAAACCGCGTGAGAAACAAATGTGTACTGTGTACCTCTTGCTGAAGGACCTAGAAAGAAGCACACTATACAGACGCCTTCCTGGAAGAATTTTGGGTCAAGTTCAATAATTCAAGTGAAGTCCCAAACACCTGATAACTGATAATGGCCGATCGGGGAAGCTAGACAGGAGCATACGACGCAGTTGGGAAAATGAAGACGCGAAACGTGCTTCAGAGGCCCAGATCGAGAAAATGTTCCGAGTGCGACGACTATCAAGGCCTAACTACCAAAATACTTCATTACACTACGCTACCCTGAAATATGGTCAAGTTACATGACACTAGAGCTAATCAAATGGATTCAATCGTGCCGAAAACGATAGAAAATCGACTATAGACGCAAAAGGGGAATGGATAACCGAGCCCAAAGACAGCTGAGTGTCTGAAACATCACTAGTACAAGGCATCGAAACGTGCGTGGTAAAGGTTAAAATGTGAACAATCGGCTGTAAAGGCAAACCCTGATGTCGAAGATGAGCTCAAAAGAAAAGCATGTCACCGCAAAGGGCACAGACATTTATTAGATGTTTAACGGTATGATTTCTGGTATCGTGCACGAGCACCAGGTCCACCAAACTTCTTTGGCTCGCACCGCCTCGGGTCAGCAACAACAAGCGTCTTGTCGAAGAGCGTGAGGGTGTCTTTGAACATCTTGCGCGAGTACTCGTCTACAAATTTCTGATGGAAAGCAATCACGGCCTTTGCTAGGGCCTGACGGACAGCGTAGATCTGAGCAACGCGGCCACCACCACTAACTCGAATTCTTATGTCCAGACGACTAAAACGATCTTCCCCGATAAGACTAATAGGTTCCAGGACCTTTGGCAGAAGAGGCTTCGGTTGCAGAAGTTCCAGCGGGCGACCGTTAACACGAATCATACCGCTGCCCGCCTTACAATGAGCAACGGCTGTGGCCGTTTTCTATTTGCAAAGTAAATAGTATAAGAAGCCATACCTTTCTTCCAAAAACTTGTACATACGGCTTCTTTGCACTCATCCTACCCACGAGTGGCGCGTTATATTTCAAAAAGTGCAACCTGCTAGTCAGTATAACAAATGCAGACTGTACCAAATCACGAGTTTTCGGAAGAACGCAACGTATTCAGTTTCACGAAAGTATTGCTTATTGCGTGGGATCTGCACGATCAATAAATAAGACTTATCGAGAATGGACACATGTCACAACATAGCACCATGGCAGAATTTCGGGCAACATATACCTAGATGCTACGCGGAGTTTGTAGATTGAGGAGTCCAAAGAATATCTTGTACTACATGATTAGTCAGAGGCAAATTTGATAAGTATCTGCTCTAAAGTACCCCCGACAAAACCGAGAGTAATCACATAAGTAGGTAAAGGTGAGCTAACGAATGGTTGAGAAATCAGATAAATTCTGTATTTGTTGCTGTCTCCTATCTTGAAAGTGTGCTGAATTGAATAGAAGATAATGTATGTATATGTATATATTTCAAGGGTTAGAGGCAGAGCCCTTGATGACCCTATTTATGTACAGTGCTTTCTCAGATTCATACTCAAAAATAAAATTGCAGGCATTTACAGTGTGATCGGGTCACAGTTCAATCGTAATCATAAAATAGTGCATAAGGACACCGGAAATTAGTGAGGAAGGATTGTATATGGCAGTTTTTTACACTACTGGCTGTGCATAGTCATGCTGTAAAAGCCGATTTCCTTCAAAAACTAGAAGAGCAAGTTTTCTTTTAAACACACAAATTGTGCCGGCCGTCACCATCTCGCTTGGAAGCGAGTTCCACGGTCTGATAACCCGCTGGCTGAATGAAAATTTTCGGCGGTCTAAACCCGTGCGCTCATTCCTGACTTTGTAGGCATGGCCGCGTAGTTGGTTTGTACGGGCAAGCTCAAAGAAGTCCTCTGCAACCCTGGCCGCGGACAACCCGAAACGTCCAAAGCAGACTGCGGTTTATTTGTCCATAAGACAGAGAGAATAAGCCAAGCAAATTCAGCCTCTCCTGATAAGACAAATGCTTTAGACCGTCGACCATCTTTGCCGCTCTGCGTTGCACCAGTTCGAGTAAGTCGATATCCTTCTTCATCCATGGTGAAGCTGCTGACATTCCATACTCCAGCTGAGGTCTTACAAAGACACCAAAGAGTCTTTCGAAGAGTTCGGGAGGAAATATTTTAAATGCTCGTCTGATCCAGTGTAGAGTACTAGTTGCCTTCTTGACCATCTTCCTACAGTGTTCTGATGGCGATAGATTTGTGGTCGTCCATACACCCAGATATCTGTGTCTTTCCACCGCTTCCAACCTCGTCCCGTCAATAGAGTACCGGCGTTTTGGTGTTCAGGTGCAAGACCACACAGTTGGACACGTTAAAGTTCAAAAACCATCTGATCGACCAAGCACACGTTTTGTCGATGTCCGACTGCAACTTCTCTGCATCATCATCGCAATTAACTTCATTCCATATTTTTATGTCATCCGCGAACATGTGGGCCTCGCAATTCACTTCTCTGATGCAGTCATTAGCATAAATCAGGACGAGTACTGGGCCTAAGACAGAACCCTATGAGACACCACTTTCCACCTTTGCCTATTCCGAGGTAGAGTTACCAACGGCGACTCTTTGTACTCTGGAGAGGAGAAAACTCCTAATCCATGTAGACATTCTTCCTTGAATTCCTACATCCTGGATATTCTGTAAAAGAAGCCTGTGTGGGACACTGTCAAAGGCCTTCTTGAAGTCAAAAAATATGACATCTACTGGAAAACCCTTACCGGTAGCTCGTGTCCATTTCTCATGCTAATAAAGAACACTTGTTAGGCAGGAGCTTCCTGGACGAAAGCCGTGTTGGGCATCACACAATATTTTGTTCTGTTCCAGGTATTTCATCAAGTGTTGTTTGATAATGCGTTCCACTATTTTACACGCGATGCAAGAAAGACTGACGGAACGAGAATTTTTGCAGTCAAGTCTTGAGCCTCCTTTATGGATCGGAGTAATGAGTGCGCACTTCCATTCTTCCGGGAGCTCGCCGTCTTCAAATGACGTTTGAAATATTGCGGATAAGGGTTTGCACAGCTCATTAGCAAGTTCACGAAGTGCTAGTGCGGGAATTCTATCTGGGCCAGGCGATTTGGCAGGTTTCAGCCGGAGTAGCTCGGCCATAACTATGGTCGACGAAAAGAGTGGTTCCTCGGTTAAGCAGGGTAGGGAGGGTGTAGGAGGGGAAAGGTATTGGGAGGAGAGGTTGGTTGGCGAACGGATGGATGGGCAAATATAGAACTTGGTTTTCGGATAAAGACGGACTGAAAGAAGTCGGAAAGGAGGGACGCTTTAACCTGGTCGTCAGTCTCCACTTTTCCATCTTAAGACCGTAGGGCAGGGATCGGCTCCTGAGTCCTTTTAATACTTCGTATATAGCCATATAGAATTTTCGGATGCTTCAACGAATGTCGAAGTAGGTTCAGCTCAAACTTCTTTCGCAGCTTTGAGGGCTCACTTCTACAAACGTTTCGTTACTGCTCATATTCCTGTGAGTGCTCTTCGAAGCCCGTTAGTCTGTAACGCCTCCACAGACGATTCCTTTTTCTGAAAGAGGCCTTTAAGTCCGAGTCAATCCATTTTGGGCGGTTTGTGACTGTCTTTTTGCTGAGGGGACAATCTGAATAAACAATCTCTTTCAGTAGGGAACTGAAAGTATTCCAGTTGTCGTTTGCTCGACCATGCAGTTCAGTCGCCCATGGACAGCTGCCGCTTCCCTCCTCATGAGAGAATAGTTCCCTTTCCAAATGTTCCTCTCCTACCTATCGGGTTGAACGGATTTGTAATACAGTGAGTACTCGAAGTAGAGTGTGATGTGGTCGCTTGACCCTAATGACGGTCGGTCCTGCAGGTCTAACACATCTTCCTCCTCTCGGGTAAAAATAAAACCAAGGCAGCTCGACTGCTGTCCTTTCCGAACCCGTGTTCCAAAGGTAACATTATGGCAGAGAAGTTTGTCCGTTGCCCATTGCAGCAGTTTGTGATTAAAGCTGTCTGGCGACCCTTGTGCAGTCCACGTTAGCCAATCAATGCCAGGAGCGATAAGGACATCTTTCTTCTCGCTAGCTTTGTACAGTTCAGTTATGAGCAGGAGATCTGGGTCAGAAGTATGGTTAGGTGAACGGTACACCACCGAAAACGTCAGTTATCGGACATTCTTAGCAGATGTGGTGACGCTTAGCAGTTCTACATCGCGTACCGGACTATGTACACCGACCATAGCGGTCAGCTTGCAAGTGACATAAATTATGACTTATCCTCCTCGGCTTAGTCTGTCTCTCCTGAATTGCTGATATCCTCTAAGTGATATTTCTGAATATGCGATATCTTCTGTAAGTCACGTTTTTGTGAATGCCATAATGTCTGGATTAATTTCATCGACTAAGTCTCCTAGTTCGTCTGCTTTGTTGAAGAGGCTTTTGCACATCTGCGGAGATAACCTTCAATGACTGATTCGTTGGAGAGGCCCGGTCTTCTTTGTGACGGGTTCTGACCACAGAAAAGACCCTTTTGACTAGACTATTTGTCCATTTTTAATCTTCAGCCCTTTCTCTCCTCTGCCAATTCTCTCTTTCAAGTCTGATCTCAGTTCTCTCATTTTCAGTCTTTTCCTCGGTTCGTAGTGTAGTATGAATTCACAGTCAGTTCAGACACACCTGGGAGCATGAAAAATCGTATCGTCGAAGTGCTGGAATACATCACTAATGGGACTGTTGGAACACCGAAATAGATGTAAATAACAAAATGGCAACAAATTAACATCACACAGTCTTAACGAGCGAGTTATTTAATCAGCGCACGAGCAATATTTTAACCCCTTCAAAATACGAAGTCCGTTACTATTTGAAAAGGTGAGCAAAGCAGGGACTACTCTTGAATATGTTTGTAGTGGAGCGCGCACGTGACGCATCCGTTGCCCTGTTTTCAATCCATTGTTTCCGACTTCAAGAGGTCATGAGTGCCGATGGATAGTAGGCTGTGGTAGCTAACAATTCTAGACAGCCCGTTTTGTGTTCCGTCCACGGCATAGTTCTCAAACCACCTGTAATTAATCATATTAAGAAGGGGGCTCAGCTCCTATCTAAATAAGGTCACTATGAAGACTGCTGAGCGATGTTGTGTATAGGGCTTACTTTTATTGTCAAAGGTTAAAAGTGGTTGTAGAGGATGACCATCAGCCCAAACCTTAGCACTGATGCTTTTCATATAGGTATGCAAGAATTTATTGAGAAACTGGGTATATCCTACAGCATCCAACATCCTCCACAGATTGGGAAGTTACAGAGCATTTGACGTGCAGACTGGCATCGTCCGACATTTCTGGGCCTAATAATAATACCAATAAAACAGCTCCGACTGCTATCTCGGTAAAAGCCTCCAGCATCGTCCCGACACCAACCGCACGCATCCTTCAATACCACCAGTAACACCACCACAAACGACACCACAACAACTACCGTCGTTGCTGACGATGTACATGGTGTGCCCCACAGCGGGCTCAGAGCAGGCACGGTGACTTGCGAGCGATTTAGTTTACAGTGAAGGTGAACTTGCGCTGCATCTACCACACTCTCTCATTCTCCACCATCTGGGCCCGGTATCAAAACAGTTTCAAGAAGACCGGAGGCGGGAGAGGATGTATGTGGGTAGCATAGTCGAGCCAGCATCTTGGCGCTCCACTCCGCAGCCCCTGATCTACAAGGCAAATGACCAGGTTTTTGACCAACAACGAAGGAGTGGTTGACAAGGCCGGAGCCGCACGTCGGCGTGCTGTCACACCTGGCTCGGATCCCATGGTGTTGGAGTGTCATGAAGGCCTCATTGAGAAGGAGTCATTGCAGCCTGACTCTTAGAACACCAGTCGGCCGCTCCACACAAACACACAACACTAAACCAACTGAGGTCCAAGTTACCCCGTCAGTTGGCAAGCTTCCAAGCCACGACTTTCAGCTCACCGTGACAGATTA